GCTGCGGAAGTTTTTCTTTTCTTGGATCGGCGCTGTCACCTTTATTAATGGCACACGGGCTTCTATTTCTCCTTCTCATAGTTTTATTTCTCAGCCACGGGGCAGCCAGGGCGCATGCAGGATGATACGAGTTTCAGGTGTACAACCTAGTGAGTCAACATTTACATAACTTGGGAAGCGGTCTCCCCGATCAGTGCCCATCTGCCAGGATTCGTGCTTGTTACAGTATCACGGGCTGTGTCCCTGGCTTGTTACAGTATCGCTGACTGTATCCCCTGCGCTGCACTTTCCAGCCCCGTGACTGCTCTTATAACCGGCCTTTTGTAGTCGGCTGCCTTCGCCTTTCTCACCCAGCCCCCCAATCCCCCNAAGTCCAGAAAATGGACTTCTTCAAGGCCACAGGTGCCCTGACTTTCCATTCAAGAATCCCCCAAAACAACCCCCCCCCCCCACACACACACACTTGGCAACCATCAAAATCTTCTCTTTGGATATGAGCTTGTTTCTGTGTTGTTTGTTCATTTATTTTGTTTCTTCGATTCCACATATAGGTGAAATCACAGGGTACTTGTCTTTCTCGCCCTGACTTATTTCACTTTGCATAATACCCTCTGTGGTCCCCAAACGCCAAGATTTCATTCTTTTTTTTCTTTTTTACGGCCAAGTCCTATTCCATTGTATAGAGGCACCGCTTCTTTATCCGTCCATCCGTCCATGGGCACCTAGGTGGCTTCCATGTCTTGGCTGTTGCACATAATGCTGCTGAAATGAACCTAGGACTGCATATGTCCTTTTGAATTGATGTTTTGCGTTTCCTCAAATACATACCCACAACAGCGATGGCTGGGTCCTTCTTTGGCTCTTGTTCTAAAGTCTTTTTTGTATCCCAGTATTGTTACCCCAGCTTCCCCCCCCCCATGTCTATTTGCAAGAAATACCTTTTGCCATCCCCTTACTTTGAGTCTGTGTGTCTCTTGATCTGAAGCGGGTCTCCTGGAGACGGCACCTGTCTGGGTCTTGTTTTCTTACCGGTTCACCCACCCTGTGTCTTTTGATTGGAGCATTTAATCCATTTACATTTAAAGTGATTATTGATAGGTATGCAGTTACTGCCGTTTTATGATTCACTTCTTAAATCATTTTTTTCTTCTTTTTCTTAAAGAAGATCTTTAACATTTCTTGTAATAGCTTTTTCTTATTTGGGAAGCTCTTTACCTGTCCTTCAGTTCTAAATGATAGCTTTGCTGGGTAGAGTCATCTTGGTTGTAGTTCCATGTTTTTCATCACTTTGAATATTTCTTGCCACTCCCTTCTGGCCTGCAAGGTTTCCGTGGAGAAAACAGCTGACAGTCCTATGGGTGCCCCCTTGTAGGTAACTAACTGCTTTTCTCTTGCTGCTTTTAGGATTCTCTCTTTGTCTTTAAACTTTGGCATTTTAATTATGATGTGTCTTGCTGTGGGCCTCTTTGGGTTCCTCTTGTTTGGCACCCTTGTGCTTCCTGGACGTGTAGGGGAAAGAAATTATTTTTTCAAATAGATTTTCAATGTCTTGCTCCCTGTTTTCCTCCTGGCACCCCAATGATGCAAATGCTGGTAAGCTTGAAGTTGTCCCAGAGGCTCCTTACACTATCTTCATATTTGTGGATTTTTTTTCTTTCTTTTCTCTCTCCTGATTGGGTATTTATTGCTTTCTTATATTCTAAATTCTTGATTTAATTCTTGACATCCTCTCCTGTTGATTCCCTGTAAATTATTCATTTCAGTTTGTGTAGCCTTCATTTCTGACTGGTCCTTTTTATATTGTTGATGTTCTAAGACTCTTGAAATTCTCCCTAAGTCCCTTGAGCATCCTTATAACCACTGTTTTGAACTCTGTATCTGATAGTTTTCTTGCTTCCATTTCATTTAGTTCCTTTTCTGGAGATTTCTTCTGTTCTTTCATTTGGGACATGTTTCTTTGTCTCCGCATTTTGGCCGTATCCCTGTATTTGTTTCTATGTATTAGGTAGAGCTGCTATGTCTCCTGGAATTGGTAGAGTGGCTTTGTGTAGTAGGTGTCCTGTGAGGCCCAGGGGCTCGGCCCCCCCAGAAACCTGAGCTGGGCCTTCTAGGTGCTCCCCTGTGTGGGCTGTGTGCACTGTCCTGTTGCAGTTGAGCCTTGGTTGATGTTGGCATCACTGGGACAGATGGACCCCCAGGGAAATCTGTTGCAAGGATGGGCCGCAAGGATTGGCTGCAACTACAGCAGAAGAGCAGCTGTGCAAGAGCTGGCCCTACGGAGTAGGATTTACTTCAGTGGGGCTTTGGTGCTCATGGAATCTGCCCCTTGAATGTGTCACCTGTGGAGGTGGTAGGATTGGTCGAAGCTGACAACTGGGTGCACAGGCTCTGGAGCCTCCTGGGTGGTGAAAAGTCAGCCAGGGCCACCTAGCATGAGCTACAGAGTCATCTGCAAATGGCTGTTACCTGTTCTGGGCTTGCCCAGGGGAGGGCAAGCTGGGAACAAAGACCGGCTGCCACTAGTGCCGGGCCTGGGGCCACTTAACAAAGGGAAGGGGGTTGTCAGAGGCCAGATGCTGCTTGTTTGAGAGGTTTTAGGAAAGTCTGAATCTTGAGGCAATAGCAGCCAGTTGTATGGAAAAGCCACAGGAAATGGCTTGGACGTGCCCACAAATAGGGAGGGGAGGGGTCTCCGGGAATCCCCAGGGCGGGTGAAAAGTATGAGCCAGGTTGATGGAGACTCAGAGATGGCACCTGCCTCTTGGCTCTGTGGGGGGCGGGCTCAGCAAAGGAACAAGGGCCTCCGCCAGCACTTCTGTCTGGGAGAAAGCTGCCCCTCCGGCTGTCACCTGATTCCAGACAAGTTAGTTCTCCCCCTCAGTGTCTAGGTTCCTTTCCAGCTGCTGCCCCCGCCTCGGAGCTCAGAGGGAGGGCGTCCGAGTGAGCCCATGTGCCCGCCCTTCAAGAGGACCACCTGGGCTCCCGCAGCCTCGCGTCCCTCAGCCCCAGTCCCCGCTGGGTTTCACAGCCCGAGTTTCTGGGGGCCTCTCTTCCCAGCACTGAAACCCTGCGCCGGGGGCCTGGCGTGGGGCTGCGACCCCTCGCT